TTTTTTTTTTTTTTTTTTTTTTTTTTTTTTTTTTTTTTTTTTTTTTTTTTTTTTTTTTTTTTTTTTTGAGGGAATTCGATTAGCTTCTTCCCTTTAATAGTACCGAGGATCTGTTTGTGCCTACTTACTAGATGAGTTTTTAAGTGTTGGCAGTGACTTGGGTTTTGATTCACCTAACTAAACTATTGAGCAATCACTATGGTTTTTTCTCACATCATGATACTAATGCCATAACACCACCAAAGTGCAGATATGCAAGTTCTTCTTACAGCAAAGGTGTCGGTTTGGCACTAGCTGCCGCTTATCGCATGGTATGTCATATTCTTTCACGTGGACCATGTAGATCCAACTACTCATTAAGTAAAGCCTTCCCCTCGTTTCAATGGCTGTTCCCACCAGCAATACTATCTTGAGATGCTAGAATGGATTATAAACTCTTTAATAAAGGAACCTGCAGAATTAAAATAATGGTGAAGTTCCTGCATAGGTCTAGGACTAAAAATGTTTTCCTTCATAAAGAGTTCAGTATGAAAAAAATGCTGGTGCTGTTCGGTTTTCTTGTTGATGAATCTTCAATCATTTGTATTCCTAATTAGAAGAATGTGAGTAAAACTTAGATCTTCTACAACTCGTTACTTCTTATTCCCCGTTGAGACTAGAAACAGTTTTGTTTCTATTTAAAGAAGAATGCAAGAGGTAATGGGGGACTAGTTTACCAATCCTAGAACTAAAGAAAATGGAGATTACACTGAAGAAAAACTGTCAAGGAACTGTGAATTAAGCTATTTCACCTAAGAGGAGAGCAAAGAGAAACTGTCTTGAATTTCTCTTTCTAATATCTTGGAAAATTCAATTGCCACATTTCATGCATTGGGCAGATGTTTGTGAATATCGCATTTCTAGAACTCCCCTTCATTTCAGCTGTCTCTATGTGATACATTCTAAGACTGCCTTATGTAATGCAAGGTAGTCTTGCCTTTCAACATTTTTGGAAAATACATGTTGCATTGCATTTTACCTCCATTCCAATAGTACCACATGTATTTCTTTCCCCTTGATTTAATGTTTCCATTTTATTTAAAATGAACTTTCCCTAGTTTTTTATTCACCTTTTTAGAGACTGGTCTTTTTCCTTCCATGTAAAAGAACAGGCAATAGCTAAGCTGCTGTTCTCAACTATATTTGTATACTTCTGTATATCATTAAAGTCAATAGCTTTGCTGCTATTCTCCATTGGGTTTGTCGACCAATTGGGAGTTTTGAGGAGGAAAGAATTTTTACATTTATTTCTTTGATTAGGTTTTTGTCCTTCTGTATAAAGTATATCTTAACAGGCAATAGCTATGCTTTTATTCTCAATTATCTGAGAGAGTTTTTCATGCACAGGAGTTGATATCCCTTTAACCTCTCTTAGGAGATATGCGCCAACAATTTGGAATCAGTCACTGACAGGGTCCAGTATCTGGGCTCTCTCGTCCAGGAATGGCATTTGGAGGCATGCTGAACTTGAATCTTGGGATGATGCACTACAAATTGCACAAGTTGTTTTTAAAGGTGATGGATCCTCTCAAAAGCTTGGACCGGAGGACATAGCGTTATCTGTGCGTGCTCAAATTAGTGATGGAGAAGAAAGTGATTCCAGCTTGGAAAAGTCTGACTCAAGTGATTATGAAGATGATGATTTGCAGGGTTTGGGATTCCTCGAAAGCTCTACACAGCAGAGGGGCATTCAGATGGAAACCACCATATTTGCAAAATGGGAGAACCATACCCGGGGAATCGCCTCCAAGATGATGGCTAATATGGGCTATCGAGAAGGAATGGGTTTGGGTGCATCTGGGCAGGGGATGCTAAATCCTATCCCTGTCAAAGTTCTTCCAGCAAAACAATCTCTTGATCATGCTCTAGAATCACAAAAGGAGAATAATACTAACGACGAGAATAATGGCAAGAAACGAAGTAGAGGCGGTAAGAGGAAACGTGATAAGAAGTTTGCTGCAGCAATGCAGGCAGCTAAAGAGGAAGAAGACTCAAGACCTGATGTCTTTAATCTTATCAACAACCACCTTGCAATGCATAATGGAGCACCGAATGATGGATCTGTTAAGAAACAGAAAGATAAAGGTTCAGCAGATGGAAAGAAGGTAGATAGACGAACTCTAATCGCGTACGATGGTGAGGTGAAAGACCTGCGAGTACGAATAGAGAAGCTTGAAGAAATGGTGAACAGAAATAAGAATGAGAAGGTTGTTTTCGAGGCTGCCTTAAGAAAGCTGAACGAGACTCGGAAAGCTTTGGCCGAGGCCGAGGCAGCTCATGCGTCTGCATCAAATGCAGTTACCAGCAGAGAAAAGGAAAAAAAATGGTTGAAGTTTTAGGGCTTGACTTGATGTTATTGTATAATGATAGCTCCACCTGTAGAAGATTCATGTCAATCTCTGAAACTGAACCCCACGTGAATTATTGAAGGAAATCGTGTGATGATTTGTGTTTCATGGTGGCTGGCCGTTGGTGTATATTCATCCTAATATGAAGTCCAAATCTTAATGTAGGCGACAGGCTGATTCTTGTTCCTTTTTCTCAATTAGTACTTCTTATAGTTCGGTCGTTTTTGTTTCTTTTGTGATTTGCATACTTTTCCCTAATAATGTATAAATTACTTTTTGGGATAGGATGAGCATTCTAGATGGAATTGGTTAAATATGTCATTTCCTACTCGTGCAAATTAGAATTTCATTCAATTTTATCGGTTTGATCCTGTTTGAAAATTTTTGCCTTTTTCACAATCGCACTTTTCTTACCACGAACTCTGCGATTGTGTGGCACTCGCTGTTTTTCAATAGCAAGTGAGTCAAGTCGATTTGTATTTGCGTTGCAATGCTCAAGTCTCTGACTCCTATTTGAAAAGAAGGTTTAGAAAACAGGGGCAGAGAAAGATTGAGTGAGAGAATTTGAAAACAAGGTTATATGACATACAAGCAAAAGGTAATACAACGGCTTAAGTAAAATTCATCCAATTCTTCACGTTCAAACAATTTAATTTTTTCTTCTCGCGTATTCCATTGGGTATAACTCCTCATCTTCATCCAATTAAAATTCTGAAATGTTTAAAAAATATTTTTAAAAAATTGATGTAATTTAATAAGTTGGTAAAATTAGTACATATCCCCACCACCGGTGAAAAAACATGTATTTGAATGTTGCTTTCGGGGAAACTATGAATTGAAGCTTCATCTGTGCAGGTAGGAGTTAAATGTGCTATTTTCGGTGTCCTCTAGTTTGAGAAAGAGAGCTGATATCCCGTTCAGGTACTCATTCCTCTCAATTTGACTCGATTACTTTCTGTTTCTTTTCCTGGGAATAGAAAATTTGGCTACCTATGAATGAGGTCATTGTACTCGGTAACTGGGACATCGTTTCGAGCTTTGTCCAATCTTTTGTTAACCCATTCTCTGGCCATCAAGTTGGGTACCATAGCAGACGTTTACACTTGCAACAATATCCTAAGTGGGTATTGGAAATGCAAAGAGTTTCGATCTGCAGACGTACTGTTCGACGAAATGCCGCTGAGAGACTCTGTATCTTGGAACACGATGATCGCGGGGTATATTAACTCTGGAAACTTGGAGAATTCATGGGAAGTTCTTAAATGCATGAGAAGATTTGGTTTTGATCAAGATGAGTACACCTTTGGAAGCATGCTGAAGGGCATTGCTTGTGCTGGTATGCTTGATTTGGGTCAGCAAATACATTCTATGATCATTAAGATGGGTTTTGCTGGAAATGTATATGCAGGGAGTGCTCTTCTGGATATGTATGCGAAATGTGAGAGACTTGAGGATGCATATTTGACATTCCTAAATATATCTAAGCAGAACACTGTTTCGTGGAATGCAATGATTGCTGGATACGCACAAACGGGTGATCGCGAGACCGCGTTTTTGTTGTTAGATTGTATGGAGCAAGAAGGTGAGAAGGTTGATGATGGCTCATTTGCTCCTCTTTTGCCTTTACTAGATGATGCTGAGTTTTGTAGATTGACAAGGCAAGTTCATGGAAAAGTCATAAAACATGGATTGGAGTCTGCTAATACAATGTGTAATGCTTTGATCACTTCTTATTCAGAATGTGGATCCCTTGTCGATGCCAAAAGGGTTTTCAATTGTTCGGCGGGCGTTCGAGATTTGGTGTCGTGGAACTCCCTGTTGGGTGCTTTTTTGGTGCATAATCAGGAAGATCTTGCTTTTAAACTCTTGATTGATATGCAAGAACATGGTTTTGAACCAGATTTGTACTCTTACACAAGCATTATCAGTGCTTGTTTCAACAAAGAGCTTAGCAATAATGGGAAATCCCTGCATGGGATGGTCATTAAAAGAGGATTAGAACAATCAGTGCCAATTTCAAATGCATTGATATCTATGTATCTTAAATCAGACGGTGGTTCGATGAAGGAAGCTTTATGTATATTCGAATCCTTGGAGATTAAGGATCGTGTGTCGTGGAACTCGATCTTGACGGGATTATCACAAATGGGGTCGAGCGAAGATGCTGTGAAGTCGTTTCTGCATATGAGATCTTTAGCAATGGATATTGATCGGTATTCGTTTTCTGCTGTGCTCAAATCATGCTCAGATTTGGCCACCTTTCAATTGGGACAACAATTTCATGTCTTGGCGCTGAAATATGGTATGGATTCCAATGAGTTTGTTTCAAGTTCATTAATCTTCATGTATTCAAAGTGTGGGATTATGGAAGATGCTAAAAGATCATTTGAAGGAGCTTCAAAAAGCTCTTCAATCACCTGGAATGCACTCATGTTTGGCTATGCACAACATGGGCAATGCCATGTTGCATTAGACCTCTTCTTTCTAATGGAAGAGAAGAAGGTGAAAATGGATCACATAACATTCGTTGCAGTTCTGACCGCTTGTAGCCATATCGGTTTAGTCGAACGGGGCTGCGAATTCTTACGATGTATGGAATCTGATTATGGGGTTCCTCCACGAATGGAGCATTATGCTTGTGCAGTTGATCTATATGGCCGTTCTGGGCGTCTTGATGAAGCCAAGGCCTTGATTGAGGCAATGCCATTCAAGCCGAACGCGATGGTGTGGAAGACGTTCTTGGGGGCATGTCGTTCTTGTGGGAACGTTGAGTTAGCTTGTCAGGTTGCAAGGCATCTACTAGAGATGGAGCCTGAAGAGCATTGCACTTATGTTCTTCTCTCAAACATGTATGGAGATCTAATGAGATGGGAGGAGAAGGCTCAGGTGAAGAGGTTAATGAAGGAAAGAGGAGTTAAGAAAACGCCTGGTTGGAGTTGGATTGAAGTTAAGAACAAGGTTCATGCTTTCATTGCTGAAGATCGTTCTCATCCCAGTTGCCAACAGATATACTTTTTGCTGGAAGTTCTTATGGAGGAAATCACAAGAATTGAAGCTGCTGCTGATGGTTTTGAGAGTTTTTTGGAGCAGGAAGAGCTAAGTTATGCATATGCATAATGTGTGTTTGCTCGAACCGATCAAATTGATTCGATTTGTTTGCATTTGCTCGATCACGATTTCGATCTCATTTCATAACTATTTGGTATTTAGTTTTCGTTTTAAAAAAAATTAAACTTCGCTTGAAAAACTAAAGTGAAAACATGTATGATATGACTTAATTTTGTAAAATCTCATAACAATTGAAGAGGAAAACAAACCATTTCTCGTAAGGATGTAGAGGCGTGGAAACCTCTACCTAGTATACACATTTTAAAATTGTGAAATTGACGACGATACATAACTGGTCAATGCAGATAATATTGTTAGCGGTTGACTTGAGCTGTTACAAATTTACTATGGATTCAAGATGGTACAATAAAAAAATGCTCAACATGATCCGACATAATGTATGTATATATATGTATGTATGTATGTATATATATATATATATATATATATATATGTATGAATATATGTATATAGATATGTATGTCTATAGGTATATACAGCATTCAATGCTATCTGTAATTTAGAAGTCGGCTTCACAGTAGAGAATCTTCCCATAACTTTTTGTCCTCAGTCACACTGCAAATCAACTTTTTCATTTAAAGCGCATTGAGAAACCAAACCAAACCAAACCCAAATCCAAATAGCTTTAAAATCTCACTGTTTCATTACCAATCTCAATACTCTAAAATTCTTTGAATAACAGTGTGCAGTTCGTATGCTGCATGCATTAACTAGATCCATACAAATCATGGTTTTTATTGTCACATTCAATCAGTAAATACAAATTCCATAAAACTAACACTAAAAATGTGTTTGAAATTTGGGTTTTGGTGAAGGCAAAGTCATGTTCGGGCTACTTTATTTCTTCTTCCCATCCCGACCCTTAGCGTGTTTATGGAACAGAAAATTCGACCCAACTACCTGTCCCTTATCATGTTTATGGAACAAAAAATTCGACCCAACTACCTGTCCCTTTTCGTGTTTATGGAACAAACTCAATCCAACTACCTGTCCCTTATTGTGTTTATGGAACAAACTCGACCCAACTACCTGTCCCTTATCGTGTTTATGGAACAAACTCAACCTGACTACCCTAGGACGAGACTTTGAGAGTCCCATTCTTAGCTCCGAAAACTTTTAACATGTAAACTCAACTCAATATGTGGACGAACTTCTCACAAACCTACCCACCACTAGGGCAACGGCCACCCCTATTACGGCTTGAGGCTAACACTTCTAACATTCAACAAGAAAACAGTCATAATATCAAAACACTACCAAACAAATAGATGAAATTACTTTCTCAATAGGAAAGCATTAAAATTCATTATTGAATATAAAATACTTCTAATGGGCCAAATCGTTTGTAGCCCCACAACTTACTTAACGTTTCAATACAGCTCAACAACCCCATTCCAGACACAGCCCACCGACGGAAAATCGCCGTCGCCGTCGCCGTCCCCACTGTGTTCAGTTGCTTGGTGAACAGTTCATTTGTAATCATATAAGTGACTAGCAATTAATTAACACATACTCATTATTTCAACGTCTAATGGAAGTTATTCCCCCGCTCACCTAAAAGGATTATAGACAAAAAACTTGTGCCGTGTAATCTCGAATGCAGAATAATTCCAATTCAATTTCAGAGGAATTTCAATTAGTGAATAATCTCGAGCATTTTCTTTTTTGTCTGCCAATAATTATCTACAATCGTGAATACGGCTAATACCTTCTATATTTTCCATCTATGGAACTATCATTTTAAGGCTGAATGAAAATTACTCATGTACTGAGTGAGAAAGACTCCGAGATTTTACCGCTAATCGAATCGAATCAGTTGTCGTCGTCGCCAGGTTTGTGGTGATTCACCTTGGCACATGATAATCCACGCGCCAGTGTCGGCGCGTCTACTATAGTCGCCGACGACATCTCCATCTGGCAAATCCGGACGGCGCCAAACAGCCTTTCCGGCAACTCCTCCTCCGTCTGCCCCTCCACCAGAAACCCCATATCTACTGTTACGTTGGTAACGTATCCAAGCGCGAGATGCAAAATCGCACTGGCTAACGCTGAGCTCCCCATATCTACATCAATCTCCAAATAATTAGGTCCTCTGTGGTAATTGCACGTCAATGCCTTCCCTAACAAACACGCACTGTAATTTCCTACTGCTTTCTTAACAATCCATGGCCCTTTCACGATCCGATTCACCAATTTCAACCGTTGATTTCTGAATAAATCATCGCCATTAATGAAACGGTGAAGAAGCGAGCCAGATGGAATCGGATCTTCAGTAGCAAAGTAGAACACGGCACTGTACTGATCCTTCCCAGGTACTTGAATGTTAACCGCAATAATGAAACTCTTCATCGACTTACCGACGGCTTGCGCTCTCCTCAACGCTTGCGCGACGCGATTGTCAGGGCGAGCAAGGACGTTGTCAAGCTTGGTACTAGATTTCAGCCAATCAACACCGGCGGGAGAAAGCAGGTAATCTCCAGACGGAGATTTTTGCCGTTTCGCCAAGTAGTTCTTGGAACGGAGAGCAAAGAGGTCCCCCGGCGGCGAGGCCCAACCATTTATCCCCGTCTGAAGGTCGACAAGGCGTAGGGATCCGCCGTTGATCGTCTCGGAAATCCAATCCACCATCGCACCTACCTTCCAGTAATCTTTCCCCCCTCTCTCTTCTCCTTTTATCTCCGAGACTGAGAATCGGAAGTGAAATGCCTTCGAACCAAATGGGGGCAAGAACGGTAATAACTAAAGACCCCTTATTTTCAATTTAATTACATGATTGCCATCCATACTTTTCATCATTATTATCGCCGTGTTGAGTATTTTATTTGCCGACTTATCAAAATTCAATTAAATTAAATATCTTTATTTACGATAATCCTCTTATTTAAATGAAAATTAATTACAGATAATCCTTTTTATTTAAATGAATTTTAAATTAAATATCATTATTATGATAATCCTTTTATTTTTTTTTATTTTTATTGGTGAATAATTCAATGTAATTAATGAATAAAATTAGTAAAAAAATAATAATTAAACAAAATTAAGAGAATCCACGTATTGAGAATCAAAGAAATTGACTTAAAAATAATAGTTGGATGAGAGAATCGTGATAGGACAATAATGGTCCACTTTATGAGTTGGTCGGGGCCCACTTAATCAAGCCCATGCGTTGGAAAATCACCTACTATTCCTCTTTTTTTTTTTTTTTTTTTTTTATGGTTTAGGCCAAACGGGATGGTATTGGATGTAAATTCGACAAGTTAATGGGGGTAGATTCGGAAATTCTGACGGGCTAGAAATTGACGGTGGTGATGGAGACACGTGGATGGGAAAAGCGCAGGACAATAACAGTCATTAATGACGCAATGTTGAAATTAATTTGCATAATTACTTCATTTATTGATGAAGGATTTGTAGATTTAATTAATATAATTCTATTTGTTTGACATTTCTTATCAAATTTTTTATATTTTTTTAATATTAACCACTAATTCTTTTCACTCCCATTTATATATATATAATAAATTGATAATTTAATTATCATTTTATTAAAATATTTAAAAATGTAAATATTTCACACAAATTCTACTTCACACTTAAAGTTCAAATTATATAAATTGTTAGAAGCATTTGGAAAACTTTACAATAAATAGAGATTAAACTGACTATTTTAAACGTAAAGAAAACTAATAAATCTCTTAAAAGCAAAAAAAAAAAAAAAAAAAAAAAAAAAAAACAAGAATAAATGAACTAGTTCGTCATTCCATACAAAAGAAATACTGAACTAATACTATTTACAGCTCAAATTTACAAACTTCGTTAANAAATAGAAGACTCTGATTATCAAAGGGTCAATACGAGTCAACGTGGCCGCATGTGCACGGAGTAATGGTGGGGAAGCCGTACTTTGTATGATATCATATTTGGCGTGATGCAATTAAAAGCTGTCTGCGAAACAGAGCAGGGTTATTTGTGGAAATTAATTTTATATCAATTTTATATTTTTAAAATTTAAAATTTTATTAAAATTATCATAAAATATATATATATATATATATAATTTAAAAGTTTTGTGAAAATTGATAATTTAATATTTTTTATATTAATTTATTTTATTAATGTATAAAATTGTGGGTGGTTCATGAAATTTGTTATTTGGTGGGGGAGGGGAGAAATGGGGAGGTTGCATTAAATTTGAATCAATTTATTAATGATGGTCAAACCTTGAGATTAGCAAAGAAGTGTATTTTTTATTTCCATAATAATAATTTAAAAATATATATATTTTTTTTTTATTTTTTTATTTTTTAGATTGGAAAAAAAACATATATTTAAAAAAAGGTTATTGGGAATAGTTTGAGTTGTACATTGAATGTTGTAGCTAAAATGGAAAAATGTAGGCTATATTTAGTATTCTGTTAGGGTTGTTTTTACGATACCAAATTCGTTACTCAGATGTATTGCCTGCCATAAACAAAACCACATACATATATTTATACAGAGAGAGGTTAAATTAATAAAAATATGAATAAATTTTATATTTTATCTAAAAGTACCACTAAAAGTTTAAATGGTACTGAAAAAAACTTTATTTTAAAAATACTATTGAATTTTAAAACCTTTTTTTTAAGTTTAAAAATATTCTGATTATATTTAAAACATACTCAATTTTAAAAATAGTATCTTCGTAGAAAAGAGTTTTTTAAAAACTCTTATTGTCAATATACGGAGGAAATGTCTTACCCACTAATATAAATTATCTTCAAAAATTTTAATGTTACTTTTGAAAATGTAGTTCGAGAATATTTTTAAATTTTTTTACAAGGTTTTAAAAGTATTCTTGAATTTTTTAAAAAATTTAAATATTTTTTTTTTAAAAGTATTCTAAAACTTTTGAATGTTAAATAGTATTTTTGAAAAACTATTTTTTAAACCTTTTTGAGAGTTGGAGAGTATTTTTAAAACAAAGTAAGAACATTTTTCATTCAAAACTAATGGTAATAATATTTTTAATTTTTTGTTTTTAGTTTAAGAATATTTTCTAAATTTTTTAAAAAATGTGTAAACATATTATTGAAAGTTCTTTTTATTAATTTAGCATCTATATATATATATATATATATATATATATATATATATATTTTTGTAAAAAATAATAATATAAACTACAAAAGAAAAAAAAAAAAAAAAAAGGAAAAGTTTTTATTTTATAATTTCTTGTTGTGTTTAGGCCTTAGGGTTAGAGAGAAGGTTGGGTTTGGCGTCTGTGGTTATACTGGAAAGATTCTAGTCCAACGCGTTACTTTTTCTGACGTTCCAGAGGAAGCCGTTAAACTATCCTTTGCACAAAGTCCAACAGAGATGAAGAGAAAAAGTATCCAATTTGGTCACGTGTTAATTAATAGGAGAAGGGATTCAGTTTCATTTGTATTTACTTCAATTTAATTCAGTTCAAACTAACCACTTTTTAAATCGATCAACTTCAGCAGAGAACCATGGATAGCTCAAATTAATACTCCTTTAGATATTGATCTGTTTGGCTTAAAATCGGACCTTAAACTCCACTCGAGCCAAACTAATCGTACCCCTAATTTTTACCATATTAATAAGAATATGCAATAGAAACTAACACTGACATATCTTTAAAATTCATGCAATAAGGAAGTACAAGCTTGGGCAAAAAAAAAAAAAAAACAGAAACACGATATTTATTGGTATGATCCATTTTAAGGAAACCAAAAGTAAAACAATGAGCTTATACTCAAAGTGGATGATATCGTACCATTGTAGATATTCATCAATCCTAACAAACCTTAAACATGTAGTCGTAGTGAACATCTATATTCCTAAGATCAAATCAAGGAAAACACAGGCTTACTTATACTACAGGAATATCTTCTGAAGTGCTTTGAATTCAGATGGCTAATGAAGAAGAACAAAAAAAAATTACCACAGTAATATACCTGTAAATCGATAGTGGGTCAATAGCAATCGACAATCGCCAACCAGACAAAACTAACATGAAGAAAGCATCTATTGATGCTACAAGTCCTGGAATTTGCCTGAGCTGGAAAAGCAAAAAGTACAAGTCACTATACAAGATTGCTTGGATAGACAGCTAGAATCTCTTTGTAAGAAAGAGCCACTCCCACATTTCTATAAATCCAATTTCTTACCACATATTGCTTCTATTGATGCCATTGAAAAGTGAGAAAATGAGCACAAATTTTCTTACTTTTCCTATGCAAATAAGATTCTTCTACCAGTCAGGTATGAACTTTACATGTAATGGAGAAAGCAATAAGCTCTAATTTGCTGCCATAAAGTGAGTCACTACTCACCATTCACCACTACTTGCTAGTGTTTTTGAGGTAAATGGTGCTTTGAAAGTCGCAAGCCTTTCAAATAAAGGAACAAAAGACAGCAACTAGCTAAATGGGTAATTTTCTTCTTCTTTTTGTTGACAGAAGGACAGAATACAAATTGGAAAAGAGAGACAAACATATTTTCATCGTTGTGAAATGCATTATTGGACATTGATAAAGCTATTTGATGATTGAATAACAATGAAGATTTACTATCAAATTACTACAAACATACTTTAGACATTATATTAGCTGATTTGATGGCCCATTCATCTTCAAGGGAAAATGAGCTGGAAAAAGGTACTTCCACTAATGTATGTTCAAGAGTACAGCTAAAACCAATACCAAAACTAGGAGATTCTTTTTATAAATATATATAAAAAGCACCGAAGAAACAATGTGTAACAGCCCAAGTCCACTGCTAGTGGATATTGTCCTTTTTTAGGTTTCCCCTTCGAACTTCCCCTCAAAGTTTTTAAAACACGTCTGCTAGAGAGAGTTTTCCACACTCTTATAAAGAATGTTTCGTTCTCCTCTCGAACCGATGTGGGATCTCACACAATGATATTAAAAGCGCTGCACCTGAAGCAGCAGCAATCCATTTCTTCGTAACTATTCACTAATTCTGCTAGGAATTAATGGAGCTCTCACTCCGCAAGATGCAGCAGCAATCCATTTCTTAGTGGAACAAGGAGCAGAGCTAGTTACACTTAATGAGAAATCTGAAGCAAGGATATTTTTCCCAACTCTTTGTCTTTTCCTTTAAAAGTTTCGAAAGTTAAAGTTGTAGTTTATATGTACCGTAAAACAGACTCATCAATAATGGACTCAGAATAAAACGTATTCAATCATTTCTTCACCTGGTGATTCTTCACCTGGTGATTCTTCACCTATCGTGATGGAAGCATGCTAATAAACGAAAAACCAAACAAGATTACAGATATATGAACGGATCGCCTTATAATTCTATGAATTAAAAACCATACAAATCAAATTTGATTTGTAAGAAACATTTTCACATTCTTACATTACGAAACTGAGATTCTGAGAGTACATACTGGTGGATACTTACAGAGAAACATCGTTCCATGGCTTTTGTGACTGCCTCCTCAACATCAGAGACGCAATAATTAACGAATTCGGTTTCACTAAAGTTTCTTTCAGGAACGAATCATTCAGTAACTCAGTGTGCCTTCCTCCTCGGAGGTTGTTTTTGGGCTGCCAACTTATAAATCCAATATACCTACAGAAATCAAGAGGAAATGAGCAAACAAGAGAGTACAGAGCTTGAATACAATGCAAAAAAACGAAACAAAAATCGGAGTTAGAGAGTACCAAAGCAAAGACGTGAGCTGCTATGAGAAGAACAAGGATGAAAGGCATTGCTTCGAGGATCCATGGTCCTGTAGATGACCGTTGCTCGTTCGCCATTTTCACCGGAGAACGATGGATGAAGAGATTGAAGAATGAAGAAGATAAACCCTAAATCGAGGGTTTGCACATTTACAGCCCTACTCAGTCGAACTAGAGCATCCTACTGGTGGTGAAGGGAAGATCAGGGGGCGATCGTGTCGCGGCAGAAAGCATATTTATTAATGGGGGAATATTGAATTTAAAATATATTTTTACGGGAAATTAATTAGTTAATTAAGCGAAATTAAATCTTCAACATTAATATCTATTTATATAATCAAAGAATACTCTCTCATTAATATAAGATTGTTTGAGAAGTCCAAAACAAATTCACGAAAAACTTAGGTGGAATGTAATAAGTCCATAAAATCCTTAAAATAAATAAAAAAAAATCAAATTTTAAACAGATACGAAGGAAAAGAAAAGAGGCGCGAAACGTAGCGTTTTTCTCATTTCTTCAGCAAACCACCCGCGCCTTCTCACTTCCTTCTCCCACTCTCTGCAGGTACAGGTTCGAACAATGGTGGAAGAAGATGCATCTTCGATGGATTCTCCGATCTCTTGTTGCATTGCTTGTTCTTTTGAATCACTAGCAGATAAGGAATGTGGTTGCGCGCTTCAAATGCTACCGCCTGTTCACTCCGGCCTACTGAGGTACCTTCTTGTTTCATTTCACCACTATTACTTGCATTTTCTTATTCTTTTGTGCTCCTGCGATGTGTGCCTGGTGATTTTTAGGAGGTGTATGAAAGTGAGAATCACTCGAAAATTCCACTAGAGAGTAGAGAACGTACTTCGTTATCGGCGACCTAAGAAATCTTAGGATCTTTCTCTGTTTCTTTTCCTGTTAATCACGCTATTCTACTGTTTTTTCGGTAATTGATACTTCTCTTGATTGAATTGATTGTATTTCCTTTGGTTTTTCTTTAACTAGATCTGCGGGAGCTACATTTTGACCTTCCGACTTGTACCAGGTATAGAACAACTTCGGTTAAGGTAGCTTTTGTGGACTTCTGTTGTTCTTCTATTCCCAATCGAGTTTCTGGTAATAGCTAATTTGAGGAAATTTCGACTAGCTAATATTATATTGATCTATATTTTACCCCCACCACACCGCCAAACAAACAAAAAAAGCCGCAGATTACGAGGCGTGAAATGTGAATTAAGAATTAGGATCTGCAATCGAAAATTTCATGTTCGTTCCATAAATCATTCATTGAAATGAAAATAGGGACCTAACTGAAAATTTGAATGCAGATTTATCGATCGTCCACAGATATCTGCCTGCATTCTCAAAGCCGACAGGATTGTTTGGAATGACATAATATTTCTCGTTTATTGGGTGGAATTGGCAATCGGGATGTTTTTGGTTGAAGTGTGGTGCTGATTTTGTTTGTTCTTGAATGCTAAGTTACAGCTAAATGCTTTTGGCTGCAAAATATGTATGTGATTAGTTGCTTCGTTTGAATCATAGATTCAAGGTTGAAAATGTGTTTTCTTTCACTTACTCAACTTATATCTAACCGAACTACTTATATCTAACCGAACTACTTATGTTGGATTATGCTATCTTTTTTTCACATCCTCTTAACTGTTTAACTATTTCAGATTGAATCAATTTATCGAGCCTTGGAGTGAAAGAAATAGGATGCCCGATTTGTTGTCAACTTGGGATAAATCATCGAATCATGCTATTCTGGAAAGAGCTGTTCACGGATTTCAGTGTCTCCGTGAAGCAATAATGCTAGCACTACAAGTGTGGATGGCTGTGTTTATTCGCGTGACATTAATTCCCGAGGTTCGTAGTTTCTCTCTAGATGTCGTTTCAAGTTTTTCAAATATTTGATTTTTTTTTAGTTATACATGGTTAATCATACTAATTATTTATAATTTTATTAAAATTATTTATTTGAGAATAATTATTATTAGGTTAGATAAACTTAAAACCTAATGCATATTATATAATATACTCAAGGAATGAAAATTATTTTAAGTCATATTATTATTTTATTAATAAATAGTTATAATGGTATGAGATTTACAAGAATATATAATTTACTCCCCCATATACCACATTTAATTTTGAAATATAAATTAACTAAATATTTATAATTAAAAGTTCATGTCATTTTATTACAACCATTTATGGGAGGATAATTATTAAAATCTATTACAAAATAAACTAAAAATCTAAAATTTATGACACGTGAACTTAATAAAAAGTAACTCGACTAATTATTTAAAACTAAATAATATAATCAAATTGTTGAAAATACTTGATGGAAAATAACTTTGTCGTATAACACCAAATACGGTTATTTAATTTGGTAGTACAAACACATTTATTTAATTTTCAGGTATTTTATGGTAAACAAAACTTCAAAATAAACGGTCCTCGAGAGATTTGTTTCATAAATCAAAGGCAAACTTTTAGATTTATATAACGTAATTCATGCTCGATATAACGTAATGGGTTATAATAGAAGCATTAGTAATGGGTTAGCAAACTTTTAGATTTATATAACGTAATTCATGCTCGATAGGTGACCGCTAGGATGATAAAAAAAAAAAAAAAAAAAAAAAAAAAAAAAAAAAAAAAAAAAAAAAAAAAAAAAAAAAAAAAAAAAAAAAAAA